TATGTGGCAGCATCTGGCTGGTTGGCAGGCGCCGGGGCAGCGGCACTGCCTGCGCTCGGTGGGCGCCTGCTTCTGCGAGGATATGGTCCCAACCCAAGGAAAAGCTTCGTAATTACATCTACCAAAGGAGCTGAATTATCGGCTGCCCTCGGAAGCTGCTCGGGCTCCCAGCCCTGGGTTTTTATTGTCCTCTTCAGCAGCACCTTGTGTAACCTCTCCTCCTTGTGCTTCGGGTGCCTTAAGGCATGGAGCTCCTTGAAAGAGAAATACAAATCACTAAAAATGTAGAGATAAAACCCTCTCCTTAGAGGCCATGTGCTTGGCATGGGAAACACATGATAACAGCTTGCTTTAGAAAGGTGACATTTCCACTGAAGGCTGAATAATAAAAAATGCATTAGACTTTTGTAATGAAGACAGCTTCTGGGACCGGGGAATCTACTGCTTCCTTGAAATATATGCATGGGAGCTCTCCCTGGCCCTAATGGGTGTCACATGCGGCTCCGGCTACATTAATGTTGCAAGCTCTATTAAAAGGGATTGTCGGTAGCCCTTCACGTGCTGTGAATCAAAGCTGTCTTTCCCTAACTTTGCTTTCGCTCAGGCTCGTGTGTATGTAGACTGAGTTGCCCAGGGTTAAGTCACTTTTAATATGAAGATGGATAGAAAAGATTCTAATACGTGTGTTTGGGGGTTATTTATTCCCCTCCCTTTCAATTCAGATCTTGCTGGTGAAGGACTCTGGAGGGATGGGGAAGGAGGAGACAGCCAGGCAGCTTAAAGAGGCCTCTGAGGGTCATGTTGAGTCTGTGCTATTATGTTCCAGCGAGGAGAATGGCTTTATTGACAGGCAGCTGCTTGACTCCTGCAGCCGTACAGTGTTTGCTGCAGAGCCACATAAAGACTGAGCCCGTGTTGACAAATTCCTTGTCGGCGCGAGGTAGTTAAACCTGCTTGTTTAATCACTCGTGTGCTCTTACCTCCGCAGCTCTGGAAGGAAACGAGCTGCTGCTTTACACAGCGATGCAGGAGAAACCTGGAAATGCTCAGAGCTGTTTCAGGTGAGGTTTTTCATCCAGACCCTTTTAGCAGTGTGGTGCTCTATTATTTTATTGTGGTCGATTCAATTTTTCTATTAAAAAGGGTTTGAATTTTGGGTTTGAAATCACAGACCTGGCTTGCTGGCTTTACAATACAGGTAGCAGATCCCTTGGCAGAGCTTAGCTCCTGTCTGTGATATTCCAGCAGCAGCAGCACGGTCCCCTTAGGAATCCCACACCTCGGCTCGTGGCACGTGCACGGAGGCACGTGAGGATGTGTGTGTTTTGGTTTGGCTTTTCTGGCACAGGGGGATGGAACCCGTGCTACCGGTCACCTCCTGTCCATCGCTCATGGGGCGGCTTTTTGACCTCTCTCCTGTTTCACAATAATGTCCACCTTCATACCAACACACCGCCTCGTCACGTTGTTGGCCTCGTCTCTGGAAATATAGTACCTAAAATTAAAGGTTTGTTTCCGTTTTGGAACTTCTGAATTGACCTTTGTCCCTTCAACAGGGAGAGAGTGGGGTAAAGCAGGGCTCCTGCCACGCAGTCAACGGGGAAAATAACAGGGACATCTTTTGAGACCTTCTTCAGGCCCTCTTTAAGGGCAGTGTCCTTTCAGAAGGTTTCTGAGCAATCAGAAGGTAAGTTAAGAGAAGGCCCCCCTGGGATGGGAACCTGTCGTTTAGTCACACAAACCCTCAAAACTAAAGTGGCAAATGGGTATTTAGAAAGACGGGTCACTGCATGCTTATGTGGCAGGGAAGGAGAGGGACATTTCTTTCAGCATCACATGTAAGGCTGCTGATGGTTGAAGTCGCTGGTAGCTGGGAGTCTGTCTATGGCTGTAACTACTGAGCGTGCTGCTGGCTTTTGAGACTTGTTCCCAGGTTCCTGCTTAGTGCGGGGAAAAGCAGCGTTCTCTGACTTAAGTACCGATGCGAGGACAAGACACTAAGTTATAATGAAGATTTACACTTGTGGGATGCACCCTTGGGAGAAATCCCGGCAGGACACTCAGCCTGGTCAGTCATCTCTGATGAGGCTGCAGAGATCCGCATGCAGGAGAAATCCCAGCAGGACACTCAGCCTGGTCAGTCATCTCTGATGAGGCTGCAGAGATCCGCATGCAGGAGAAATCCCGGCAGGACACTCAGCCTGGTCAGTCATCTCTGATGAGGCTGCAGAGATCCGCATGCAGGAGAAATCAGGTTTCCATTGATTTCAGAGCACGCAGGTACTTCTTTGCACCGATTTAACGACAAAAATCCCCCGTGTGAGTACAGAGTCTTATGAGTATGGCCAGGCAGCCTCACTTGAAGCCTCAAGAGCCTGGAAAAATCCTACAGTACTTCCAAAGGAGTTACCTCCTCCTTTCTCTGTTTGTATGCTCCTTGGGGTTTTCCAGTTATTAACCAAGTAATCCATTGAATGTTGTTTTTATTATCCATGTGATGCCGATTTCGATTCATTTGTTTCTCAGCCTTTTTCCAAGTGGACTTTGTTCTGACTTGCCTCCCAGCCACAAATGTTGTCTTTCCTTTCATTCAGGCATTTTAAAAGCATGTTTCCTTCTCTTTAGCACATCCCCATAGCTGTGTGTTGGGACCCAAGAGCTGCACAGCTTTGTGTGGCTACGAAATACGAAAGTATTTCCAGATGAATGAGAAATGTTAAAACACCCTCAACACGATCAGGAGCTTTGGTTGAAACTCAAACTGGTTTGGCTCAGGGCATAAGCCAACCTTCAGCTAGAGGTCTTTTAAAACAAATTTCTTTCTGTCCCTCATTTAATCATTATAAGAGGAAAAGCAGCCTATCTTTACATAAAATTCATTCAACTGGCCACTTAAGTGATTTTTAAGTGTATGACAGCCACAAAGAACAGCGGACAAGGGTTGTAGGCTAACTTATTTTGGTATAAAACCCAAAGTACCAATGTTTCCTGCCACTTGGTGTGGTCCCCGTCCCAACTAAGCATGAAATGGACCTGCTGGGGAAGGACACCAAGGCAAAAGGCTGGTGGATGACAGAAAGAATCCTGTTCTGTGTTCAGAGAGATGCTGCACTTTCATCTTTATGTTGTGGTCGTGTACAAGCCATGTGCAAGCCTCAAGGAAGGAACATCCCAACCTCATGTCAGAGGGCCTGAAAAAATGGGCTGAAGCCGCAGAGGTTGGTACTATTGATAATGCTGGGCACTTCAGTCTCTCCTTTAGGTGCTCGATAGTTACCAGGTGCTTCCCAGCCCAGTGTCCCAGTCACCCTTAATAAGAAAGTTGTCAATGATTTATGTTCCCTGTAATTCTATACCTTGTTTGACTTGTTCCTGGGTGATGAGAAACCCAGCTATGGTGGCATCCAGGTGTCTCTGTGGTAGCAGTCCCAGAGGATGATGTACATCAGGTCTACCCTGAGCAGTGGGTGACCACCAGATGAAGACACCGGGATTGCTATCATGTGCACCTCTCCTTGTCTGGAAGTGTGAGAGGTTTTCCAGCACAGGACGTGACAGGACTCTTCTGCAGCCATCAGAGAGTGAGCGTTTTCCTTGGATGCACAGCTCATTTGTTCCGAAGCAAGCTGTATTCCTGCTGTGTGCCTGTATGCACAACGCTTATTTATTACAGCCCTTCATCAGAGCTGGGTCAAATCCATCTGAGGAAAACATAAATGTGTTACAATGGATTTTTTTAGTAATTAAAATCGTATCTCCTTCTCTGAAGTCCTGATTAAAAGGCATTAAATGTCACAATGCTATGAGAAATAGCCATTATCAACAAAAATCAAACCAGGTATGAATGGCTAAAGGAATTCTGCCCGGAGCAGTCAGGTTTCAGTGCAAACACAAAGGGTCAACTTGTGACACTTGGCTCCTGTATTCTGCTCGTAAGCATCCCGGCATATTTGCTTTGCTCTCCCTGTCTTTTTCCTCCTCTGTTGCCCTGTCCATATATCAGTGTCGGGGAGTTCAGACATCACAAGGGCCGGTGGGGGTTTTATTATTATTGTAGTGCCTAATGTGGAATTTCGCATGAGCAACATTCCTTCCTGTCGGCACTTGGAAACTCTTTTGTGTTACGTCCGTCCTTTCTCTGAAGTAATCGCTCAACTATTTCTAGCAATAAAATATTCCTCTCTAGCCCCATCAGATATGTTAGAAAGATTAGGGCAAGATCTGAAGGCCCTGTCCAGCTAAATTCCATGGGCTTTAATGTTCTCCTTCTCTTTCACTGCAGATATCACCTGAGGACACAGCATAGGAAAGAGGCACCCAGGTACTCCTTGATAGACGCAAGATTTGTACTCTATAAAGAGGCTTGTTTGAGTGAAACAACTCGTGAGCAGCCTGCTAAGGGACAGGGACTCTATGAACACGAGTGTGTGCATGTCTACATCCTTCTTTTCTCTGGTGTTTAAATTAACTTTCAAAAGCACTATGCTGGAGAGTCGTCTGAAACTTGTTAGGGGACTGGGAATGGGACCTGCCTCTGCTGTTGGCTGGAAAGGCAGTGGGGTTTTTGTCTCTCCGCAGCTGGGAAACTGAGGTGAGAAACCATTCTCAACAAAGCAGTTTAAAAACCTAATTTGGGGCCTGAGATGCACTTTGTGGGAGGGAAGGTTTTCCTTGGCTAACAGTGGGAGAATTCTCTTCCTCTGCTCCCCATGCAGGGACAGACAGTAGCTGAAGTAGAGCTGAAAGGCAACTTCAAAAGAAGAACAGAGAAGTGACGACCATACCTCTTTCCATGTTGCACCAGCTGGAAGGATACATGCAAACCGAACTGACTTTCAGTGGTTGCTTCTATCACTTGTTTTCCTTGTTCCAGAATGATGAGAAACCCAGTTCCCCGCTTTGGGAAGCGGGGAATGAGTCAGGACTTGCTTGTGTTACGAACCAACTTCTTTGGCTTGCGCAGCTCCTCCATGAGGTGAAGCACCGGGGATGAAGGATGAAGCTGCTCGTTCCTTGCCTTTTCTTCAAGTAGAAAGAAGCCATCTGGGGAGACTTACCTCCATGTAGCAACGTTTGTGCTGCCTGGAAGGAGCTGCTGTCCCTCCCGGCCTTGGTCCGCACTGCCGTCTCCTGTGGCTTCGGCTCTAAGGGAAAAGTTTACTTCAGTTTGAGGGTATTTTTGTGCACTACCTCCTTTTTTTTTGTTTTGTTTTTGTTTGACAGCCATGACAGCCTCTCCTCATTATTATGGAAAATATAGGGTTGGTGGTAATTACTATCTGAGCCTGAATGGGAGCAGAAGTGGGCATAGACGGCACTGGCCTTTCTTTGACAAGGTATAACTTTCTTCTGAATTTCTGTGTTTAATTAATGCTTATTTAAAAACCACTTTAATTGGCAGTAAACACCTCAACTTTTTGTACTCATTAAAATGCACCCATTGATGTGTGATGGATTTTTTTAAAGCTTAATTAACTTTCTTCCTATATATATAACCTATAATAACGGCAAATACTGAAAACTGCCTTCCTCCCCCCAGTTTTTGCCCTCCTCTCCCTCCACCATATTTCCATCACTTGAAGAAAGGCAATAGAAGTATCTCCTGCCTTGGCCAGGATGGGGAGGTGCCCTGGGGACACTGATTCAGCCCCTCTCAGAGCACCCAAGTGCCAAGTCGAAGGAACCAAAGAACCTCTACAAGCGCTTTTCTCTTTCTCCCACATCACATTCTCAGCCCACATCTGAGCCACAGAGCAGGCTTTAGTGTAAAACTTTCTAGCATGATGAAGTGAACCATGATTTCAGACTGTATTTTTGAAGTGTTTCAGCATTTTGGACTCTGAAATTAGATTCACAAATCACTTCTGAATGTGGGATGTTGGTACTTCTTGCAACTGCGATCCTTCGTATACAACGAAAATCACCAACAAGCCAAGCACATTATAAGTAATTCATGCTAAATATGCCGTTTGCTTGGTTCAGCTCTTACACAGATCATTTCCCAGTTTTTCTTTGCAATTGCTGGAATATTCTTGTTTAAGGTGGATGAATCAGAAGTTTTAAATGGGGTTTGTGAAGGTGCCTCTACTGAGTACCTTTTAAATGCACGAAGCAATGATTTCATTTCCAAAAGTGCCTCATTTAAAAAGAAAAACCTTTTATCTTCAGCCAAATGTAAACTTGCTTAAAACACCCTGTAAAGTGTTCTTAATTCTTCTTTACTCTGTGTGCTCTCTCTTACCCAGTTGATAATCTACTGCTGCTCAGTTCCTTTCTCTTTACCTGGCTCAAGGAGCAATTAGGCTCATCATCTGAATTTCCCACTGCACTAATAACTACACTAAGATATTCACTCCTGCTTTGTAACTGAGCTAGGAACAATATTTAATGGCCATTGCATCTTGTCTGTGTTACAGGAATCTGCCTTTCTGTGGTGATGGACGCAAACCTTGAGGAAACGGCCTCAAGCTGCCCCAGGGCAGGTTTAGATGGAGCTGAGGAACGATTCCTTCCCCAGAGGGTGCTCAGGCATTGGAACAGGCTGCCCAGGGCAGGGCTGCAGTCACCGTCCCTGCAAGTGTTCACACAGCGTGGAGACGAGGCCTCAGTGCCATGGGTCAGTGGTGGCCTTGGCAGCGCTGGGGAACCGTTGGATTTGATGCTCTTTTCCAACCTGGTTGAGACTATGAATGTATGATTCTAGCTGCAGCTTATCACTCAGTAGGGCATCTGGTTTTTGGAAGTATGTAAATAAGTGCCCGGTTCCTCTGGGACAGCCAGTCTTGTTCCCCAGCTTGTGGTCACTTTTCAGATACCTTTTCAGAGAATGACTTTTTGTTCCTGGCATTTGTGAGAGACTGAACCGAAATCAGGCTCCACCAATCCATTGTCTCAAAGATTGGTATGGGAAGTTGAGATGGGATTCCACCATCCATTGTCCCCAAGATGGGTGGGAGGAGTTGAGATCAGACTCTTGAGGATTGGTGTGAGGGATCAGCTGCCCCCATTATCCCAAGACTTGCTGCAGGCATGTGCAGTTGATGGGCTGGCTGCAAGGCCAATGAAACTCGTCCACCATGAACATGCTGTACGTGACACTAAGAGCAGAGGTATTGCCCCCAGCTCATTATAAAAGGGGAAAAAGGTAATCCCCAGGGAGGACACCTCCATGAGGACGCTCTCCATGGATGATCAATACAGTCCCTGAGGGACACCCTCCATGAAGACATCGCCATGAGGACAACTCCATAAGCACACCTTCTCACTTCCTCTTGCCTGAATTGTCTCCTTCCAGCAGGCAGGGCTCGGGCCTGTGGCTGCGCACACTTCAAACTATGAAGCTTGCTGAGTTTCTGCTGCTGCGTGGTTTTTCTGTACACAGTGGGAACAGAACAAGATGTGCACTGATTAAGGACTTGATTTCTCTCACTTGCTCAAGGTAACTTAATCACAGAGACAATATTTAGTTCTTACTTGAAAATCCACATCCATGTGGCTAAATGTGGACGGCATGCAGGAGCTGAATGTTAATGCTAACTTTCTTCCTGGGCTGATTTCAAGGCTCTCGTTACAATAAAACGCTGCTGCCTGTTAATTTGACCATGTCAATAAATAAAAATGTCCATAACAAGTGGATGAGGCTAATTAGGATTTTATGGCTGTGTTGTTGTGGTTGATGGCTGTGCTGCCGGCTTGCTGGCTCTTTATGTTTCAGTGATGTACACCTCATTGATGCATAACATGTAACACCTGTTGATGCCTTAAATGTTTAGTCCTGGCAATTGGCCCTAGCATCATTTCTGGGTACCAGGGCTTTGTGAGCAGGATGCAGGGCTCATAATTAGGCTTCCTCTCTTTAGAAGAGCTTTTCCTAAAGGAAGACTTGAAAGCGTCTGTAGTCCTGGTTGAAGTTTCCTGGAGCCTGTGGAAAAGGCCACTGTTATTTTCTGGTGCAAAGGGGCACCAGAAAGTTTACAGCTGTAAGCTGGTTTGGTCCTTGCCTCTGAGGCAGGGCAATCCCTTGCAATAGGATGCTGAAGGCTCCTCCATATGCTCCATGCACTCTCCATCATGTCCCAGCAAGCACACAGCACCTTAGCTTAAGGTACCATACAGAAACATAGGTGTTCTGAAATAAAATCAGTTGTCACTGAATGGAGCATCCATTCTTCCCTGTTTTTCAGCACAAGACCTGCCTAAGAGTTGCATCTGTATAGCGAAGAGCCATGGAATGATTTACTTGTAGGTGGAGTTTCCTGCTGAGCCAAACTTATTTCAGGCTTGCTTTGAAATGTAAAAGGTGATGCCCAGCTTACCTTTGTTTAGTGGAATGGATTTAACTAGATCTGCTTGAGCTGTTGCTAAAACATATTTGGTTTAAAATATTTATTTATTGTTCCAAAAAACCTGTCAATGTCTTGCTTCTAACAGGGTTTTCCATCTGGATTGCACAAGCCCATTTAACACTATGCTTAACTAGAAATACTACCTTTTGCCTGGAGCTCCCAGGCTAAGCTCCACAGTGGTTTACGTGTGTCAGGGGAGCCACCCTGTGCCACTGGAGGGGGCAGAGGCACCTCCCCATAAGGGCAAATAAGGCTGAGCAGGGCTTTGTGGCAATTGTAGCCGCACACCTTGGGTTTCTGTTGTGTGGAAGTTCAGCATGGGTGAGCAGGTTCCTCTGCTTCTTCCTGTTAGAAGACCATTAGAAATGGTTAATTCTATTATTCTGCACTATAAAACTATTAATCACAGTTTTGAAGTAACTGGCAATTAACAGGACAGAAAGAGAAAAAAGGGTAAGCAACCGAGCTTGGTACGAAACCCAGCAACTGAACGCAATAAATAACTCCAGCAGTTTATTCTCCCTGCCTCAGTCTTGTCATTCTGTACCATATTGAAACTTCCTTTTTCAGAAAAGGCCATGGTTGCCAAATGAAAATAGATGTATTTCCATTGGGTACAATGGCAGAAACGGGCAAGAGAGCAGCAACTAAAGCAGAGAAGAAGGAAGAAGATCTGATTAATGGCTTTCCTCGAAAGGTAGGTGCATTCAGATGGGGGTTTCAGAGTTTTCTTCCTTGCTTTATGGCAAAAATTCTCTCTTACAGGAAACACCATGTTTTTTCACAGCAAACAACATGAAGGAAATAAAGAAGGGGGGTTGTAGCTTGGATAGTGGCCCCTGAAGTGGTGGGAAGTGTAGTTGTGGTCAAGCTTGTCCCTGACCCATGCTTGCTGTAAGTCGCCCAGCACCTACCATAGGTACCTGCAGTTGGTCCTGGGGACAGTTTGTTGCTAAGACTCTTCTCCTGCCAAAGCCATCTCTCTTCTTAAAATGGGGTTTCCTCCCATGTTCATATCCATCTGCACACGTTACACAGTGTAGGTTTGTGCTTGCCTGTGATTTCCTTGTTGCCAAGATGTTAATGACTTGAATCCAGGGGTTAGTTTTATCGATTGCCATGCTGGTGTCACAGCTCCAACAGGTAAACTGCCTTGAGAAGCTACCATGGAGAACTGATGGATTGAATGGGCCAGGATTGTTCAGGAACCCGATTGGGTGATCACCGATGTCACTAATTTGTCAGATTTTTGCCACAGCAAGCTGGTAAAAATGAGGATTTTTGGAAACTGGATGATGGTTTCCAGACTCTTTAAATAAGCCCTTTAATAGAGCTCTCTCCCCCATGCTAGGAAGACAAATGCAGAAAACTGGAGGAGTGAAAGTTAAAAGCAAAAGAAACAGATTTTATGGTTTTTCACCAAGAAACTTTTACCAAAATGAAGAATTTCTGTTAAAAATAATTCTGTTGAACAGGCCGCTTTGCTTTGATGATTGTTTTTATTTTTCTGTGGTGAGTTATTTACTGTTTTCTTCTCTCCTCATTGTGTGGCCCCAGGCCTTCCTAAATGCGTTCTATTCAAACTCTGCTCTGAAGACAGAAATATTAATTTCCACATGGGCTTTTCTATAGAACTCATCGCTATGGTAACTGAATGTTTCATAAACATTAATGAACTTACTTTCACTGCACTGCAGTGAGGCATTGGGTGGTAGCATTATCCCCATTTCATGATGAAGAACTGAGGCAGAAAGAGATTAAGTAGAAAAGTATTCACTAATTTTAAGTTCCCAATCTGAGATGCATGGTCTGATTTTTCAGAGGACTTCGCTTGTTATCTGTTCAAAGCACAGCTCCCATTGCCTTCGCTTGCAGCTGTGAGTTCACATTTCTTTGTGCTTTCTGTACTCGGGTAGAGACTGCTTTAATCCTGTTCAGACATGGCCTCTTTAATTTCTTTCCCCCAAGATAATCAGAAGGAGCTGAAACTTATTGGGTACTGGCCATCTATTCTTCTAGCCGAAATGACAATAGTTAACCTAATTTTTTCCAAACACTAATTTGTAGCTTTGATGTTATAGCTAAAATAAGAGCTGCCCTTATCCTAACTTCTCACAGATTAGAAAAGCATTTGCTCTGGTAGACTTTAGTTTTTAGCTTTCATGAAAGAGAGCAAAACTCCTGGGAGCCACTTGTTTTGAGGATAGCTGCTGATGTACCAAACAAGCTAAACGAATATATTCTGTTATATGGGACTTTTCAAGCAGGTGAATCGAGTGTCTTGTTTCCAGCACACCTGGGCTTTGGCAAAGTTCAGATTCGAATCATCCCCCTGTATAAGGAGGGGTCTAAAAAGATCATTTTCTGTCTTTAGGCAGTGGGGCTTTATAGTGGCTTAGGATATCTTGAAGACTCAGGCCTTAATTTGCATCAGCATATGTCACTTGGACCCATGGCTCCCCTCATTTAGAGCAACTTTGCAGGCTCCTGTCCCATTCTTTTCTTTAGAGCTACAAGCTGTAAAGCTCTCAAATGCAAAGTTTGCTCTCAGGTCTTTCCCAGGAGATTTACTTCTGGAGCAAACCTGTGTAGATGTTTTTCTGAGGCAGTGGTTTAGGAAGGGAGCTCTGACCCCGTCTTAACCAACGAGGTGCAAACAGGCTGCTGTAATATTGTGTTGTTGAATTTTCCTTCCAGTGCTGAATGACGGAGAGCTTGCCCTTTTCCTCAAATCTCTGCCCGATCGAGAGATGAGTGAGCTGGTAACTACAATATCCAACAGCTTCACCAAGTCGAGAATGTGATGTTGGTGTAATAACGCTCAATTTTGCACACTTCAAATCCATTAGTAGCAATTACCTTACCTGAGGTGTTTTGAGTTAGTTTTAGCATGGCATTCTTGCAGTTGGTAGATAATGAGCATAATAATGTATACAGCATTTTCAAGTCTCTGTTTTTAGGTACAATAATGCCATTAGGATTCTATTTAGCAAATGTGTGCTTCACACAGAAAGTTAAGACTTTTTTTGTTCATGTTTCCCTCCCGCTTTTTCCATCACATCTCATGGCCTATTCTGTGCAGTGCTGGATTTTTTGAAAGAGCAGGAAGGTGTTTGAGCCACTGCACTTGTGTAAGAGCAGTGGGGGCCCAGTATACTGAGCACAAAACAAGGATGCAGAAGAGCAGGGTTGTGCTTTAGCCCTGCCACAGCCTGCTGGCCACCCTTGGGCAAGCTGCTGTGTCCTGTTTGCCCAAGGGATGAGGATGCTGACACCCTTGCAGCATAGTGGCAAGAGGTGCATGTGGGCTGTGTGGTGCTGAGAGATGCAGATGTCGCAGTACCTTTCGCTAGGCATACTGGCTCAGTCATCTGCGCTGGGGGTCCTCGGGCCCCCCAAGATGATCCTCTGCCCCACTGAGGCTTTTTTCCTTCTTCAGAGAAAGAATTTATAGCCCAGATGGAGAGTTACATCTGAGAGAGGATTCCACCTTGGGCCTGGGACATAACAAGGGGTGGATGGTAAAGCAAAGGTGGCTGCAGCGCATGTTGCCCCATGCCTGCTTGCTTCCAGAAGTCAGTGATGTCAGACAGGCCTGCTTTGGGTGGGATAACCCTGCCCTTGCTCGGGGCACCCCAGTAAACCACCATTACAAGGTCCCTCTTCATCCTGCAGACCCTTGCTGTCCTTGTAGCAATGTAACCGTTTCAGGAAAAGCTCAGATTTTATCCTTCCAAAGAATTCCTTACCAGAGAACGAGGAAAGGGCTGAGGAGATATAATTGATGCCTTTGTAGATGTCACTGCTAAGGTCTCTGACACAGATCATACCAGCACGTTAAAAACAGCTCTAAAATGTTACAGCGCGCCTTTGGTATTAAATCTGAACAAACACAAAAAGCAAAGAGTGTGTGGGCAGCCACACAAAATTATTTGGGAAACTGGCTTGTACTTGCAGTTGATGTGTTTAGAAAAAGAATAAGAGCTTGGAGAGCCTTCTCTGTTCCAAAAGGAACACGTGGACATGTCTTTGGCAGATGTGCACCTTCTCTCCAGCTTTTTTGTACTTGATACTCTATTGAAAAAGCAAACCAATTCTTTTGGCATTGAAATCTCAACTTCTTACCTTCTTTTCACCTTGATCTTTCTCACCTCTTAGTTGCTCTGGCACACCAACTGCATGCTCATCCACTGCCTCCTCCTGCCCTGTGAGAACACCTTCACAACACTGGCTATCCCATGCTCAGTGGAGGATGGTGGAAAGCTGTCCTGGTGGTGCTCAGCAAGGAAAACTAGGCTGGATTCCAGGACAGCAAGGTGCTCAGCAAGGAAAACTATGCCGGGCAAGGACAAAGTGATGAGAAAGCACCCGGCTGCATGACGATAACAAAGCGCTTCTGGCTGTGGGGTAGGCGGGATGAAGGGGCGCAGAGCCTGTCCCCCCTCCTCTCCTGCTGCCTCTTCTCCCTGCCTGCACCACCTCCTGGCCCCTTCAGCTGCCACGGTGACTGCCACCTCCATCCGTCTGCTGCCCCGGATGTCTGCTTACTTGACAGCGGAGCCCCAGGGCTGACCCCATGCGCAGGCTGCACGCTGAAGGGGAGCCGGAGGAGGCAGATATCACCTCTCCGTCACAGCGTGCTCAGGCTGCTCCGGGGGCAGCGCAGCAAAGGGCTGGACCTGATCTCCTTGCATTGCCATCACCTACCCTGAAATTAGTAACAGCACGTCCAAGGTTAGTGGCAAATTCAGATACCCAAGCTGCATAGGAGGAGGGTGAATAAAGGACAGCGGCTGCGTATAGTATAAGCGCTTGCCTTAGACAATGCGTGACCTCTGAATTAAAGAGCCCAGGATTAGCGGTGAGCTTTTTGCATTATTGGGCCCATTTACAAAAAGCTTTAGTCCTAATTGTATGGTACCACAGAGCTTTAACTTGAGCACATATTGGTTTTGTAACCTGATCCCCACGTAAATCATAGTCGGTGAGAGCGGAACAATTAGTGCCTTAATCTACTGGAACTGCACAGTATCTTTAAATCTGAATTTTCCTGATCATTATGGGTGTTACAAGAGTCAATTAATTTACACCTCACACCAAATGTAATTAAATCCCACGATAACCTGACTGTGAAATGAATGGGGAGGGGGGAGGATGAGGAGCAAGGCGGGGAAAGGCCTTTCCTCAGACCTCACGGCTTGCCATGGATGGAGGTGCTTCCTCTTCAGCTTTACAAAGTACGGAAGTCTTGGGTCGAGGGGGTCTTGATCCCTAATTTCATGCTGAGCTGCTCTGTACTCCCAACACAGCCTGCAAGAAAAGCATTCCATGTTTGCTAGCCCATTTAAGTGCCTGGGAAAAGAGGAAGGCCTTGATGTTGCAAAGAGCCCAATGCCTGTAGTTGGTCACCTAAGGGAATCCACTTATGACTCTATTACACAGTAAATTAGCAGAGTGGTTCAGTCAGGTATATTTATCATGAAGAGAACTGAAGATAATTAATACACTGCATTGAATGCAAATTGCACCCACAGCACTTATCTCATTTTCAATTAGCACAAATGTTACAGCACTGCAGGCTTGTTATGGTTTTACCATGGGCTGGGTAATTAATTTCTCTGAGCTACATATCAGACACCTGATAATGCCGTTTATTAATAAATGTCACCCCAGGTATCAGTTAGGAGAGGTAAATAAATTAAATGTTCCGTTGTCTGCCCTGTGCAAATCTATTCTTACAGCTCATTGCATCTTTTCTCTTGTTTGTTTATCAAGGAGAATGACGACGGAGATTACAACGGCA